TGCAAATTGACCATACCTTTGAAACACCCTAAACCACGCCCACCAGGCAATCAGAGTGAATATATGCAAATTAACTACCTGCTTTCAGCCAGCCATGGCCACAGAGATGGAGCAAGCAGGAGGTTTCCCTCCTGCCCACCCTGGCTGGCTCTGAGCCCCTCTCAAGGCTACAAAGTTTCAATTATAGAAGGTAAATAAATCCCAGAATTAAAAAAAAAAAAGAATAAGGAAAAAAGGAGAGGCTGGGAGCTTATGTCACTGGGGGCCGGGGGCTTGGGGGGTGGCAAGCCTAAAAACGGCCCTCAGCCCCTCACCCAGGCTGGCCAGGCACCCCAGTGGGGACCTCCCCCCTGAAGGGGGTGTGACCAGCCTGAAAACAGCCATCAGCCCCTCACTCAGGCTGGCCAGGCACCCCAGTGGGGACCCCCACCCTGATACAGGACACCCTTCAGGGCAAACCAGCCGGCCCCCACCCATGCACCAGGCCTCTATCCTATATAATAATGCAAACTGACCCTAACAGCAGAAGGACTGGGAATGACTGGTCACTATGACACACACTGACCACCAGGGGGCAGACACTCAATGCAGGAGCTGCCCTCTGGTGGTCAGTGCACTCCCACAGGGGGAGCTCTGCTCAGCCACAAGCCAGGCTGACGGCTGCCAGTACAGTGGTGGTTATGAGAGCCTCTCCCACCTCCTCAGCAGCGCTAAGAATGTCTGACTTCAGCTTAGGCCTGGTCCCCGCTGGCAAGTGGACATCCCCCGATGGCTGCCAGGCTGCCAAATTTTTGTTCACCAGGCCTCTAGTCCTATATAATAAAAGGCTAATATGCAAATAGACCAAACAGCAGAACAATCACACAACTGAATAACTGGTCACTATGGCATGCACTGACCACCAGGGCACATGCGCGGAACATGGCAGGCGTTGGCCACAGCAAGATAGTGGAGCAGGTGGGTAGAGGCAACAGACCAAGGCAGGGCACTGGTCACTGTCATCTGGGCAAGCCTCTGGTAGTTACTGAAAATTCTTTGCTCCCGCATGCAACGGTCCCACCCAGCACTCGCACCCACTGCCAGTGCCATCCCCACTCACACCTGCCCCAATTGCTCAGCACCATCAGTAGGTGCAAGTGGCGGCTGCCAGCCCCAATCACCCCTCAGGGCTTCTCCACCTCCCCCTGCTCCTGAGGGCCGATCAGGACCAGCAGGCACCTCTTGCACCCACTGCTGGCAAAGGCCCTGCTCACATCCACTGCTGGTACTAGGGCCACCGATCACACTCACTGCCAGTGCCAGCCCTTCTAGCACCCACAGCCAGTGCCAGAGCCACTGCTCGCACCCACTGCAGGCGTCCAGCACCAGTCCCGATCGCTTGGTGCCATCAGCAGGTGTGAGTGGCAGTTGCAGGCCCCAATCACCCCTGAGGGCTCCTCCACCTCCCCTACTCCTGAGGGGTGATTGGGGTAGCAGCCACCGCTCGCACCCTATGACAGTGCCAGCCCCGCTCAAACCTGCTGTTGGCACCGGCCCCAATCACTCTGCACCATTAACGTTTGCAAGCAGGGCCAGTGCTGTCAGCATGTGGGAACAGTAGTGGCAGGAGCGGGGCTGCCAGCAGACAGGGGACAGGGGCCGCAGTAGGAGAGGGCAGGCAAGGGGATGGACCGAGACCTGTCCCAGTGCCCACTGCAGCCTTGTGGCCCACAGTTCCTTTCAAGGTGCATGAGTTCATGCACTGGACCCCTAGTAGAAATATAATCAATAATTCCATAAAATTAAAGGGTATGGATCCTAACGGTGGAACGTCCAGGAATGACCGGTCACTATAATGTGCATTGACCACCAAGGGGCAGATTCTCAATGCAGCTCTGCTCAGCCACAAGCCAGGCTGATGGCTACAAGTGCAGCAGTGGTGGCAGGAGCTTCTCCCACCTCCTTGGCGGCATTAAGGGTGTCCAACTGTGGATTAAGCTCAATCCCCACAGGGAGTGGGCCTAAGCCATCAGTTGGACATCCCCCGAGGGCTCCCGGGCTGCCAGAGGAATGTCTAACTGCAAGCTTAGGCCTCATTCCCCAGGGAGCAGGCCTAAGTCGCAGGTGGATAGCCCCTGAGGGGTCCTGGACTATGAGAGGGCGCAGGCTGGGCTGAGGGACCCTCCCCCCTAGAGTGCATGAATGTTCATGCACCAGACCTCTAGTATAATATATATTTTTCTAGGTATTCACATGATATATGGATATACAATATTATAAATACATTTTCTATTAACTATACTTTTGGACTTAGGGTTTTCATTTCACAAATAGGAATTATAAATTCTCCATGAATCTACTTTGACCAATAGTGTATAATGACAGAGGGGTTACATGACCAGCTGTGTTTAGTGTGAAAGTATAAGATAAAGATCCTGATTAATAAAGAAATTGAAGCTATAGAAGCTATCTTGTAATAACACTGTTTAAACCAGTCAAGTTAATAAGTTTCTAGATTACTTATGCAATAAATTGCCTCAAGATTTATGTTGTTGTCTTAATCCACTCTGGGAATTCTTCTAATTCAAGTCAAACATTAGAGGAAAAATCTGGTTCTATAATGACCAATTATTATTTCATGTAAAGACTAATATTCCATAACTTTCATAAATCGAGATGGGCAGCATCCTATCTAACTCCACAAAGGCAGGGAATAGCAAAATGCCTTGATACTGGTGATAACTTTATTACCATGTTCTATACATAAAATAACATTAGCTTCTTTCTGCCCCACTCTTTATCCATTTAATTCCACAATTCATAAATTTAAAGCATAAATATATTACTTATAAAATATTTAAATCACAAACTATGTAAATATGATATTTATTTTCATTATAAGTCCTACCAATTTTTTAGAGTGATTAAAATCAACTGGTGCTCCTGTCTAGACTATGAGATATAGTACTGTAATTTTCTTGCCAGAGTACACAATGCCTTCCCTCAACACTTTACCTTTAGTGTCTGGTAAATGTGTCTTGCTGCCCCCATCCTCAAACACAAATTAGTTCTACTCTTTTTCTTCTCAGTACCAATACCAAGATTGAGTACTGCTTTGGAAATAAAATGTTACGCTATTACATATTTGTAGTGGATCTGGTACATAATCTACTGAAATCAGCTCTGTGAGTTATTTATTTCCCTATTTCCAGATAACACTATAGGCAGACATATGATATTTCAGCTCACACTCGGATTAAAGGAATATAT